CCTAAAACTATTGATGAATGGATGAAGTAAAATTTATTGATATTGAAGTTAAATCATTTTGTGAATGAAATTTCAACAACTTTTTAATAGTGCGCTATTCACTATTTTTAATCTTAAATTTTCTATTTTTTTTTTATTGTAAAAAATAATGTAAATCCCTATTATTAATTATTGATGAATAAAATTAATGTGATATTTTAGGATTGACATAACGAACTGACTTAAATATCTGGTTTATTTAATTCGGTTAAAAATTCAAAGAAGAAAAATGTAACGGGTGTGACGAATGAGTGACCAAAATCGTTGCTAAAATAACTATCACTCGGAGTGTTCTTGTGGTAGGGCTCAGAAAACCGTAGAAAAAGTCGTTTGATCTCACCGCTCGATCAAAGGATTCTGGAGTTGTTTATCTACTTATTATGTCAGTGCAAGCTAATTGGGAATATTTGAGATCCATCCCCCATGAAATACTCGCACGTAACTTGGCACTCTTCTTTCCTCTCTATCATTGTCTTCCTCCCCGTATATTTGAGGGCCAGTGACATCCAAAATTGGTGATGTTGACGGGATAATGCGTGAAAGATTTTCAACTCGAACAAGAACAGTCACATAACTTTTATACTGTGACTTTCATACGCCTTTTAGGAACTTCTTGGTATCATCAAACATCCCCGCTGGTCATTCACTTGAAGATTCATTACTTAATTTTACCGTATTTGGTGCAACACTGCATCGAGATCAATTCACTTTTTTTATATTTTTATGGCAATTCTGGTTTAGGCTGTCAATAAAATTAAATACGTATGAAAGTATATGGAAAAATTGCATACTGATGACAATTTTAGTATCAAATGGTTAATTATAATTTTCGGACTCTCGCAAAGAGAAAAGAATCAATGAGAATTGATAATTAATATCGTCATTAACTGTACTGTACCTTTCTTGTGAATATTTTATACTTTTATAATTTTACTGGTAATTTAGAAAATTTCATAATGAAAAATATTTATTTAATTAACTGAAAATCTAATTGTATTTACGATTCAATTTTTCCAGCAACTCAAAAAATTCAAGCATTCATTGAAAAATTTTTGTTGGTCAACAAAAAAAAATAATGCTCTTAAATTTTTTAGATGAAAAATTTATTGAATTTTTTCATAACTAGAATATTGAAAAAATTAACCGATTCATCAATGAAAAATGTCAATTTTTTATTAAAAAATTCACAGGCAATTTTCCAACTGTATCAATAAAAATTAAATTCAAACAAACTTCCGAAAATCCCTAACACTTAATTTTCCAGAAAAGCTGTCATTACAGTTTTCCCTCTGAAGCTGCGAACCGCCAGTAAAAATATTTCGAAAAAGAAAAATAATTTTTCCAATTCACGCCTCATATCCACCCCGCAACCGCAGCGGTCTCTCAACAAATAGATTACGTGCCAGAGAGGATTTTCCGCCCTTTCCCTGGCATTTCCACGTATTCGCATCCTCCCTAAATTTTCCCTTGCACATGCCACTCACGTAATCATCTACCGTAGAGCCCCACCCCCTGGACTCTCCTCATCCAATGGATTTTAAGGTATCTGTGACTCACTTTAACCTGTCCCTATTTCTCTTTAACCATGCGCATCGAAATCATCCCCCGACAATTCCCTCCCGTGTATCTTCCTCTGGAATTGCAACGCGTTAGCCAAACCCACCCCTCATTCTTCGTAAATCCACTAACCATTCCGTTATCAAATCTACGTACGCATTACACGATCCCGAGGGGAAGGAAAGGAAACAGGAAGACGTCATTAAAATTCCACCCTCGTAACATCCATCAGGGAAGATGGGCTTTTCCCCCTGCCAAGGCCGCCGATTAATCTCGTACACATCGTTCATTTGAGGTTTATTCAAAGGTGTACCCTCGACCAATGCCCGAATATTTACACTGAAAAGCAAATTTTTAGGGCACAGGTCATTGCGGCAACACTTTATTGGCCCCACGAGAACAATGTCATCGGATTTATATTCATTTTTCTTTTAGCTACTAATTACCCGAGACGGATTTTCATTATTTCAATTTTTATTTAAGGACAT